CCCCTGACCTGCCCTGAGCCAGGCTGGTTCTACGAGGGCTGGGGGAAGCAGAGCTTTCCTTCCCATCACCTGGACCCAGCCTGGTCCTTGAGGCAGGCTGGATCCTGCTCACCCTGGAAATACAGCAGAAGGAGCTGTCTTTTTCCATTCCCTATCAGCTTCATCCTATGGGTAAAGCACTGACCCAGGAGCCACCACAGACATCCCTGCTCCGTGCCAGCCGAGTGGTGGCATGGGCTTTTGTCAACCCGGGCTACGTTTGGGAGGCTAAAACGGGAGTGAAATCTCTGACCTTTTGTTGCCCACAAAAGTAAATCTGTCTCAGAGCTTTTTGGGGCTGCCAGCAAGCTGGTGTGACGGGACAGTCTGAGCTCCTGGGAGCATTTCAAAGCCAGGCCATTCAGTGCCGGGCTGGGGTGGGATCGTGGTGTTTCAGAAAGAGGGAGCAATGGGGAAAGCAGTCCAAAAGCCATCCGGTCTGGGGTTGGGAGGCTGGCATAGATGGTTTTGAATGCAGCGGGGCTGAACGGGATGGCACTGAGCCAAACCTGACCTAACCAGCTTATTTCCTTGCTTTCAGTAATGCCTGTACAAATGTGCCGAGGCCTGAAGGTCGTGACCACGTGAGCGAAGGTCTGGGGGATTAGCTGTGGGCAGAGCACAGCTCTTCCCGGGATTGCCCTTGGAGCCCTGAGCCCCAGGAGTGGTGACACCCCACCAGCCTGGGGCCAGCGTGGCGTCGGTGCCTCGAGTGGGTGCCGGAGAAGCAGAGGGCTGGCTAGGGACAGCATCTCCTGTACCCGGCACCTCTCTGAGGTGCAGAAAAGTAAGTAAATGTTTGCTCATCCCACATCAGCCTCAATTTTCCTTCTGGGTGTTGGTAGCCCTGGCCAGTGTGTTGCTTTTATGCACATTTCCCCTGCAACAGTGTCAGCTCTGGTTTTGAAAGAAAGACCAGCAGATTTGCAAACTTCTGCAAGGCACCTGGTTTGGATGTGCCCACACCTCTGCAGGCCATGGATACTGTGCTCAGCTGAGCGTGCAGGGTCCCTCCTGGGGCAGAGGGTCACAGGTGCCCCTATAGAAGTTCCCGACCTAGTGTGATGCACGAGCGCGTTTCTCTTAGAGAGCTGGCAGACAAGTTCCAGAAGCCTAATACCGGATCAGGGCATCACAGTTTAATAGTGGTGATGCATCTCTAGGCACTGATGTCATCAGGCATGAAAGCAAAATGACATCTAAGAGCATCCTCAGCACAACCCTCTCTAGCTGCCTCTGCATGGCCCTGACTTTAAACCTTGTTTCTTTTCAGAGCCGTTTGGGTGCTCTCCCAGGGCGTTTGGAGGAGAGGGAGATGTGTGTGGGTGCTGTTGGACCTGCCCGGCTCCTCCCTGTCCCAGGAGGGAGCTGGCAGCAATTAACAGGCCAAGAAAAACTTGGTTCTCGTGCTGCACCACATCGGTGGGAGACAGCCCCCAGGCTGCTGGATGTGCTCGGAGCAAGCCTGATGTTTCTCCCCAGAAAGCCAAACTTTGCCTGTCCTAATGCAATGCTCTGATCCCCTCATCACTGTCCTGAAAGCCCTGGCAGGCTCCAATGCCAAGCCCATCAGGTGAAATTACCTAATCCAGCCCTGACAAGTGCCACCCGCACCCGGGAGTGGGTCCCTTCCCTCTAATCCCTCGCTGCCATCAGCTGCCTTAGCACGCGTGGGGCAAAACAAGCAACACGTGAGCAGATGGTGCCTTCTCCATCCTCCCGCCACCAGTTCAGCAGCCCCGAACAAAACTGCCCCATTACCTTTTTCCCGTGAGCTGCCCCCATGGTCCGACGTGTTGGCTGTGCCCTGCTCACCCACGGTGTGGGACTAGACGGTTCCCCGTGGTCACCGGCCCCGTTACTCCTGGGGGGATCCCCAGCTGTGCAGCTCCTGGCCCCTTGGCGGCCGCTGCGGGGAGACACGGGTGAAATCCAGCCCGTCTGCAGTGGGGCCAGGCAGGAAAGCTTGCTTTTCCTCCCTTCTCCCAGCACGTGGAGAACTCATTTTCTTCACGCACCTAACGGCTGGCTCGCG